TTCTATTAGACTAAAATAATGCAAATAGGCTTTGAAAGACATAATCCCAATAGCAGTTTCTGTAGTTATGAATAAAGGCTGTCCTAACAACAGAGTTGGTTTTCTATTCTGGTATTCCACTCGAGTGTCTATCTCCTCAGTTTAAGGGATGTGACCTGAGGCCACAGTCATGATAGTGAACTATATATAACACTGGCAATAAAACAAGTACAGAATTCCTGTAGGAACTGAAAAAACAAATCCCATATGCATACACACATTAAATTGGGATGCTAAGTCTACTTCATGAGTCTCATGCTCTACCTTTTGTAAGATACCAGCATATAACTGAAAACTTAAGCAAAGGTCCACATATGATTTGTCAAAACATACATTAAATCAATTGTCTGCTTACCTACAAGACACACTTGTGACTGTTCTTTGGTCATGAGAATGATTCTCTATGGGCCATATGAATCTCAGGCTGATGACAAGAAGCTGCACATGTGCATAATGAGACCTGCTGTTAAAGGACAACTTCCCACTGGACACAAAGTGCCGTGCTGTGAGATCTTGTACTTTGGCAAGCTCAGTCATCAGTGAAATGGCATTTAATTAATATTTTTTTTAATCTAAAAGAGTAATTGGGTGAGCAGAACCCATCAGACTGAAAGCTTCCCATTGCCATAAGACAGAAATACACTTAGCAGCTATCCTGAGAGGAAACTGGAAATACCATGGCATTGTGCTGTAGTAGTTACACATCACTCCTTTGGAATTGCAGAACTGAGTTCAAAGAGACAAACTGCTTTGTTCTACTACTGGAGGGCAGGGAGCACAAACTTAGAAGACAATTACACAGTATTTGTCACTAAATCAAACAGTGATTGAAGTGGAAGCACTGGGAGCTCCAACACTCAGCTCTCTATGTTGGGGATTACTGCAGAAATCCCAAACATAGCACAAAACAGGTGGATTTGCATCAGTGAGGTATTGAGCAGGAGTTCATTACACTTAAGCTGCTCTTAAATCCTGTGCTCTGATTAAGATATAGCTTGGGTACATCTTGTCATGGGTATGGGCAGCTCAGGCACTGGTAGCTCAAGGCTGTGACTGGATCAACGATCCATTTGGCTAAACTGGAGCAAAAGGAGTTGAAAGAGTCACTAATTGTTTACCTATTAAAAGTTATAAAAGGGGAAACTGCAAACAGTTAAACAAGTAAAGAGGTATTGAAGAGAAGTCAGTAAGACAACTGAAAGTGGATGAACTTCCAAAGGAAGCGATGAACACATGTAGCTGACAAAGCACTCCATTACATGGAGATTATTTCAGTAGTGGTATTTGATTTGAAAGGATGAACAGGCAGGTCTAACTCATCTCTCTACTAATGTTCATCTAATTTCTCTCTCTCCTCTTTTTAAGTTGTATCAGTCTGACATTTCAAATATCGGTGCTCTGCGTAAGTTCCAGAAGTAACTTGTGCCAGTGGGAAGGGAGACATACAGCATCTGAATGAACGTGAGAGAGCTTGATCCACATTTCAGCCTCGTGTTCTTTGCTGAATGCTTGCTGTTCTCCTTTCAGATGTGGAAAGCTGCAGATTGACATATCTCTGGATTTTTTATGTTGTGATACTTTTCTCCTAGGATCTCTGCCCTGCTGGTTCTGGGAAACTTGTGACCTCTGCATTTTTAATTAGAACTCGTAACTTTTTCCATAGCAACATATTATGATCTCACAAGTACAGAATATGTCAAATTGAACAGCTCCTGGTCAAATTAAGTCCAAATAGATATAAATACTGAGCAGCAACAAGATGTATGATACGGCACAGTTAAGAAAAAGAAAACAGACAGCAAAAGAGAGATGGAAGTCTTGGCTTTGGTTAATCCAGAAGTTTGACCTTAGTAATTAATGAATTGATACAAATAGAATAAGATTGCAAGCTGAACTGATTTATATGAAGAGTTCTTAAAACTAATTTCCTCGCATTGAGAACAGATAAAATCCAGCTGTCTGATTGGTGTGCTAGGGCTCACGTGAGACAGAGGAAATGAACTAGTCTCAGGAAATATTCTAGATGGGGACAAAGCATTACTCATAAGGATAAACAGTATAAGCAGGCTGTGAAAGGAAAAGAAATGCTCTGCAACAAAATCTGAGCTCAGATCTTAACAGACCCAGCAATAATGCAATTCAATATGATGGGTTAAGAAAAAGAATAGCATAATACAGCACTTATAGATGTATTTTTCAAAAACATTTATGATACATACCTTGCATATGCCGAAAAATATTTCCTTTCATAAGAACAGCTAGGAATTTTTGTCCTTCAGATACACTATTTACGTGTTACTATAATTTTTTCATTGAATCATGATTACAAACCTTTTTTTTGGTATTACTTACCATCCATGTGAGCTTTTGAAACATATTTCAGTGTCAGCAGGGACTTGCACAGAACAGTACTTCCTGTCACCTTTTCCTTGGCATTACCAAGAAAGGCATTACCAAATTTCCTCTCTAATATAAAGAAGTCTCAGCCAAGAAGAATATATTTTTCTGATTAACCAGACTTCTGCTCACTTTTCCCACAGTCAGTTACTTGTGTTTCCTTCTCCTGCTTTAAGCTAAGATTTTTTAAGCTAAGTTCTGGTGTCCTCAACATGGATCTGTTGGAGCAAGTTCTGAGGAGGTCACGAGGATGATCAGGGGACTGGAGCACCTCCAGTATGAAGACAGGCTGAGAACACTGGGGCTGTTCAGCCTGGAGAACAGAAGCTGCATGGAAACCTCAGAGCAGCTTCCAGTGACTGAAGGGGACTGAAAGGATGCTGGAGAGGGACTCTTCATCAGGGACTGTAGCGATAGGACAAGGGGTGATGGGCTCAAACTTAAACAAGGGATGTTCAGGTTAGACATAAGGAGGAAGTATGAAAACAGAGTCTCCTCATTATTGTCCCATTCCCAAACACTTAGGAGGGCTGATGAGCCTGAGTTCAACCCCTGCAGGACTTCCTGGAAATCTGACTATTTACTCACATTTTGTTGCCTACTCTGAACGATTTTCATTTCAATGTGCAAGGACCACGAAGATGATCAAGGGCTGGAGCACCTCTCCTGTGAATACAGGCTGAGAGCACTGGGCTGGTTCAGCTTGGACAAGAGAAGGCTCCAGAGAGACCTTACAGCAGCTTCCAGTGCCTAAACAGGCCTCGGAAAACCTTGAGAGGGGCTTTGGACAAGGGCCTGTAGGGACAGGCCAAGGGGAATGGCTTTAACCTGCCAGAGGTGAGACTGAGATGAGCTCTTAGGCAGAAGCTCTTCCCTGTGAGGGTGCTGAGGCGCTGGCACAGGGTGCCCAGAGAAGCTGTGGCTGCCCCATCCCTGGCAGTGTTCAAGGCCAGGTTGAACACAGGGGCTTGGAGCAAGCTGCTCCAGTGGAAGGTGACCTTACTGTGGCAGGGGTTTTGAACTTCACGATCTTTAAGGTCCCTTCCAACCCAAACCAGTCTATGAGTCGATTATTCCAGTATTCTACTCATTGACCATGACACCTTAGCAGTTTTAGTACTGAAATACATCATTCATACATCATTCCATTATTCTACTCATTGACCATGACAGCTGTCCTGGGTTCAGCAGTAGCAGTCATGTTTCTCCTTTGTGGTAGCTGGTGCAGTGCTGTGTTTTGACTTCCAGCCTGGGAGCAATGTTGGTGAAACCGATGTTTTCGGTTGTTGCTAAGTGATGTTTACCCTGACCAAGGACTTTGTGAGGCTCATGCTCTGTCAGGGAGGAGGGGAAGCTGTGAGGAAGCAGAGATGGGGCACCTGACCCAGGTTAGCCAAGGAGGTATTCCATACCACAGCACGTCATGCCCGGGGTGGGGGGTAACTGGGAGTTACCCGGAAGGACACAGGCTTCCGGATGGGACTCGTTTCTTGGCCGGTGGTATCGTATTCTCTTCCCTTGTTATTTTCTCTTATCATTGTTGTAGTTGGTAGTAGCGGTGGTGATTTGTGGTGTACATTGGTTGCTGGACTGTTCTTGTCTCAACCCGTAGGAGTTGCACCCTTTCGATCCTGCTCCCCGTTCCTCCGGGAGCGGCGAAGGGGAGAGCCCCGGTGGCGGGGGGGGGGGCCTCGATTGTTGTCAGCTCGGCACCACTCACTGGGAGTGAGTGAACAAGTTGCCTGACGGGGTTTAAACCACGATAACAGCTTAGCAGTTTTAGTACTGAAATACATCTTTCATTTCAATATAATTTCAGACTAGGAAATGTGATAATGTTTTTATTTGGTTTAATTAAAGTGCATTTCCCACTCTCAGGCTTTAGCATAAACAGGAATCAATTGTTCAGTAATAACTCCATGACTTTTCCTCCAAACAAGCAAGGTAACAAGGTAGCTTATTCCCCTGTTCTGCAGCTCTGTCTTCAATGCTAAAGGCTTCTGTTGAAACCTCAGCAAACTGCAAGCACAGAATTCGAGTATGCTGAAGAGAAGTGTAAGCAGGGAGTGTTCACTTCAACCCAAATTGATTGTAGGTTTAATTTATGCAGTTGCATTACTTACAAAACTTATGTAATTAAACACTTAAGCAAGAAAGACGTGTACTAATGCATGTAGTTATGGTCTACATAGCAACATGAAATATTTATAGCTGTGTAGCACCTGTCACCAGAATGAATTCACTTCATGGAGACATCACGCTAAGGACAAGTGAAATTTTACTCAAAAGTCCCCTAAAACAAAGAGAAAACCCATGTGTTAGCAGGAGGTTGCTTTTGTCACTAACTGGAATAGTCAGTTTTCTGTTCATAGTCAGAGAGGCTGAGGAATCGTTTTTACTGAAGACAACCAGGTTTACAGCTGATGGGTAAATCTGCAGATTGCACCATGTCTCTGAATTATATTTTGTCAGGAAGTGGAAACTAATGGTGTTTCCTCAGAGAAAGGAACTTCTATACCTCCACAGCCTATATACTATGGCAGAAAAAAAGGGGAAGGGCAAGCAGAAGGGGAATAGAGGAGAATAACAGGAGAGGAAAATGGAGAGCAGTTGCGGAGCTCCTCTGCGTTCCCTGCTCTTACATTCTGTGAGGAAGAGAGATTACATAAAGATTATGAACTTCAATTCTATGCTGTAATTTTACATGTATTCTTGTGAGGCAGCTAAATCGTTAAACAATTAAACAGATGAAAAAGAGTGATATCAAAATTTACCAGTGTTGCCAATAATTTCCAGGGAAAAACTACCTCAGCTGACGTAAATAATCAGAGTTCTGTTGAATTCTGTGTGTCTTCACCTTCCATCTTTCCAGACAATTCTAAATCAGTGATTGAAACAGGAAACTTCTGTGCATTTGATCTCACGTGGAATTCAGAACCATGGGCTAAGATCAAATGTACCATAATGTGGGGAACAGGCACTCCCGTGGGAGGTTTGACATCTCAGCCTAACAAGCAAAGACTACCCAAAAAGTGACAATCAGGCAAGAGCATATCTGAAATCTCACAGCTCAATGGGAATTGAGTATTTCACTCAAGTCTGCATGGAACCATGTAAGATTCACAGCCTGGAAGCACTGGCTCAAGAGCAGGCACCCGCAACTTTGCTTTCAACTTTCTCTAAAGCCCCATTCACTGGAAAAGTGGCAGTGAATGCAAGTGCCTGCACTGCAGCCACTGCACTCATTCCTTACACCACATTGGTTCTTACTGCACCTATCCAAGAAGCAGGAGGCACAAGTGAATTTCTTCTTTCTGTAAAAGCACAATAACCCACATCTTCCATCTTCTGAGAGAGTGCTGTAACTGTCAACCTGTTCTGTTAAGAGTAGGCATTACTGCAGAGCAAAGCCAAGTCCACCCCATTGTTTCTGAGGACTGTAACCAACAGGGCAGCATTAACCACATTCTGAGAACATTTGCTGGATGCAGTCCCTTGGGATCACGAGAGGAGATCATCACATTTTTAGCATCTGATCTGATTCACCTACTGAGAACTTCAGGGAAGGCAAGCACTTCATTTGAGAGCCTCATGGATCTATGCACTAACCAGCTAAGTCTTTCCAAGACTGCTGTGTCTCTGGGGACTTCAGTAGCTTTAAAATAAAAGAGAAAGATTACAACTGATAGTAGTGCAGCACAGACACAGAGGTTTTTCCACATTGCTAATTTAGGACCAAATTTAGTCTTCAGACTTTTCTGCGCTTTTAAATCTTTATTTAAAATCTTTCAAATATGAAAGACCACATACAAATGCCACCTGCTATCTGGGCTGGACGGGAGGTGATTTTTTTGGCAGCACTGAGTTTTTAAAGAACTTCTTATATCCAAGATTTATTTTGTAGTTCTGTGTCCGTGCCCTCTGGGAGTCTTGGTCTGAGAACTTTCTGCCGTGGTTTCGTTCAGTATTTTAATTAACATTCAGTTTCTTTCTCGTGTCATGGAGTCACACTCCTCCCACCACCCACACCCCAACTGAAGTCTGGGTTTCTTTACTCCTTTTTGGAGAATTTACTATCTGACATGAATTGCCTGAGCCTCCAGATTAACCATCCTGGTATATATAAAGCGTAAAACTTCAAAACAATCAAATGAGCAATAAAGGTGAAAGATGGCATTATCTGAGAATAAATGTTACATTGATGGATCAGCTGGAAACATTTCAGGAGCTGTATGGAATTTGTTCTCATTTCCTAGTGGCAGTCAGTGATTTTTTTTCCAAGGGAATAAATAGGGAATTAATTGCTAATACTAGAAGGCTAAAACATATCCATCTATCAAAAAGTGATCTGCTACACTGCACTTCAGTTTTGCAGAAGGAAAGACACTGTTCCTCAGGATATTAACTCCTCAGAAGTGCCACTCTGTACTTTCTTTGTTCTTGCATGTAAGGATGAGTGCAGGCTTTAAACAAAGGCAATCATCGTTTGTTTCTCTAAGTGGAAGACACTGCAGAATTCCCTTCATGAAACAGCATATGGAAATAAGAAGCATAACCTCAGAGTATCCAGTAAAAGGAACAAAAATCCACAGGGCTGCAGACCACAGAACTGCTTCACCCACAACAAAAAGATGAAAAAGAAATAGACTCCACCAACCTGTGCTACGTAACCAGATATTTCTATTTCAGTCTAATCCTTTTTGAAGAGCCAAAGTTGTACTCTAGGCAAGAGGCTTGTCCTTTACCAGAAACAGCACCCAAAGAAAACCAGAGAATGCTGTACATCAGGTTTACTACCCTTAAGTTTTTTAATTGCTCTGACTGCATCTGAAATTACTCCATGTTTTACACTGCTTATTGGTCTTGCTTTTAAGAGTTTCAAGTGACAGTTTAATACTGTGAAATGTAATTGCAATTGTAATAAAAATAAAAGCTATACTTTCAAAATGTTGCCTTAAACATCTCTTAACAGATGCCTTAAGGTTAAAATGCATGCATTCAGCGTCTGTTACTGAGTCACCATGACAGAGATTAGATCATTATATTTGTGTTTAGATTATCTGCTGTAAACACATCCGTGTGACTGTCCTGGGATTAATTTGATGAAGTATGATTTGACATCTGGGTACTGTCATCTTATTGTTATCTGCTCCTCACAGGGTTTGTTGGCAATTCCAGACCTACCTCCCCTGTCCAACTAAAGGGAGGGAAATAAGAAAACGGAAAAGGTCAGACATCTGAAGCAGACTTCATCATGCACTTAATATTTACATCACAAGAATGAAGGGAATAACTGTAACTGCAGGCACATCAGCTAAAGGACAGAAGCTCTTTTTCCTTTGTGGTGCAAGCACCTTCTTGCACAGAATCTGGCACTGATTCTTTTCCCAACTGCACGACATTTATTTCCCATTCTCTCCCAAGATGCCAGCAACCCAGCCTCTAGCTACTTTGCTAAAACAATTAGTTTTGACTTCTCTTGCCAGAACTGTTGCATCACATTCTAAACACTTGCTCCTCCTACTGTGATAAAACTTCAGGCAGAGAAACAGCCATGTGCTGGAGCAGCTCTGTGGTGCTGGGGACACATACAGGTTTACAGCAGTATGTCTGCTAAATCACTAGGAAACCAAATACTGCCAAATTTTCAACCAGCCTTTACTGGGACATGGTATTAGCCCACATATAATTAAATGCAAAGATCTTCTGACACTGAGCTATTCAGAGAACAAAATCTTCTTGAAACTACTGGACCCAAATAGGCGGACTGTTACTGGTATCTTCTTTCTCCTCATGCCAGTTCCAATCTTGTTGGCAGTGGGAGTATAAAACATTTGTAAGTACAGATTATTATAGCTGAATGGAGCTTGCCTTCCAGCAAACTGGAAGCTCACCTGCCTGCCATGAAATCCAGGGGCAATCATGCTATGTATGTCACTTAGGTAAAACTGAACCCTGAAGTCTGAAAACTGCAATATTCTGTGTGATTCAGACTCCCTATCAAATATCCTCAGCTTCAAAACCCCACTTTGCAACAGGAGGGTTTTGAACAGGAGCTCAGTTCCGTATGTGGTCAACCAACCCATGCTTCATTCAGAGACCTTTTACCTTTTAATTGTGACATTTTAATGTGGGCAGATGACACATCTGGATCCTTTTGTTTTGTTACTTGCATCCACAGAGCAAAAACTGCAGGAGAACATTGTGTGCCTTTAACAGAACAGGGTGGGGATAAATTGTGGCTATTATAATTATGCTGATTTAATGTGGGATTTTTCGTATGTATGAATTTTCTCAGGTGTTGTGTAGCAGTTCCAAGGGACAGCCTGAGACAAGTTGTCTATGGAAGTGTTTGTAATGTCAGCCAAGTCCATTCTCCTCATTGGATGAGCTACAACAGAGATAAGCAAGGTCCAGGTCTGCAAAGTGATGCACTTTGGCTGGGATACTGAACATTACATTTCAGTGTCAGCTTCGTAAAACTTCAAATCATAGAATCATAGAATCACAGAATCGTTAGGGTTGGAAAGGACCTTAAGATCACCCAGTTCCAACCCCCCTGCCATTTGAACTTGCCATGGTTAAAATCTGAATGATCTGTCTCTGCTGTTTCTTTTCTAGTATAGTTTCCAGTGTGGCATAATGGCTTTAACAGTCAACAGAACCAGACACATTGTAAGGGCTCTAATCTTCACTTGCTTCTGCAGTTTTACAGTGCAAAACCAAATTCTGAGGTGCTTATGAAGTCCACAAGAATAAGTTTTAATACAATGCATTAGTTTCTCCCCATTCGATTCTAGTGAGGGCAACAGGATTCCAGGAATGTGCTTGGTCCAAAAGTTTCAATGTCACTGAAACCCTAATCTTTAGAAAACACTGGAAGATGAACTTTGACTGTACAGACCTTTAAATAAAAATAGCATTCTTATTAATGTATTCTTCCCAAGTGCCTGCTTCTTCCTAGCATGTTTCCCATCCTAATACTGTATGTTTTTGCAGCTGGCAATTGACATTGCCAATGAGCCTTTATGTTCAATGTTATTTAATATATTCCCATCAGAAAGCTATTTTTACTATATAATTTCAGTATCTTCTTGAAGTGTCTTGCATATAATGTTCATATTTTAATTTGCATTTTTCCCATAGGATAAGTAGATAAAGATTCAAACAACAATATTGAAAGAATTTCAGCTTGTTTGCTGAAAGAAGGGATTTTATAGAAACTACTTTGTTTTACAAAAAAAAAATGAAAAAGTGCAACTTGATGCTTAAGATGGCTATTACTTGAGATAACCAAGACAGCACCATCATAAAGGACCATTTGCATTTAATTTTAGATGCATGGGAAAATAATATGCTCAGTTATCATTAAAAATGGTAGGATTTATAATAAATCCTTACCCTGAAAAGTTCTCAGAATATTGGCCCATTCTATACAACAATCTCTTCAACAGCTACAACTGGCCCTTTAAGAAGCAGCTTGCGTGGAGCTCCTATGAAGCCAGGCTGAGAGAGCTGGGCTGGTTCAGCCTGGACAAGAGAAGGCTCCAGAGAGACCTTACAGCAGCTTCCAGTGCCTAAACAGGCCTCGGAAAACCTTGAGAGGGGCTTTGGACAAGGGCCTGTAGGGACAGGGCAAGGGGAATGGCTTTAACCTGCCAGAGGTGAGACTGAGATGAGCTCTTAGGCAGAAGCTCTTCCCTGTGAGGGTGCTGAGGCGCTGGCACAGGGTGCCCAGAGAAGCTGTGGCTGCCCCATCCCTGGCAGTGTTCAAGGCCAGGCTGGACACAGGAGCTTGGAGCAAGCTGCTCCAGTGGAAGGTGTCCATGCCCAGGGCAGGGGTTGGAGCTGGATGAGCTTTAAGGTCCCTTCCCAAGCCCAATGGTTCTATGATTTGCCCTAAAGGAGAAGACTGTGATTTGATAGTAGGTGTCTTTCAATGTATTAATGCAATATTTGTAAGCTAAACCTTAGAGGTTATAGCTATATACTATTCAGTGGTCTCACAATCCTTTCTAGCTGTTCATACATACAAAATTCAAACACCTAGCAAGGTGGAATCAGTTCCATCTGAGAGTACAGCAGCAACTGTAGGCTACAAATGGTTCAAGACCAGGTTGAACAGAGTCTTGGGCAACCTGGTCTAGTGGGAGGTGTCCCTGCCCATGGCAAGGGGTTGGAACTGGATGATCTTAAGGTTCTTTCCAATCCAAACCATTCTGTCATTCTATGATTCTTTCCTTTACACTTCAAATCTACTTTGCGCATGAAACTGTAATTGGCATTTTGTCCATATCACTCTCAAAGGGAAGTTCCTGATGACTGGAAAAAGGGAAATATAACCCCCATTTTTAAGAAGGGGAAAATGGATGGCCCGCGGAATTACAGACCAGTCAGTCTCACCTCTGTGCCTGGCAAAATCTTGGAGCAGATTCTCCCGGATGGCATGCTAAGGCACATGAAAAACAACAAGGTGCTTGGTGACAGCCAGCATGGCTTCACTAAGGGGAAATCCTGCCTGACCAATTTGGTGGCCTTCCATGATGGGGCTAAGGAACTGATGGACAGGGGTAGAGCAGTTGACATCATCTACCTGGACTTGTGCAAAGCGTTAGAAACTGTCCCACACGACACCCTTGGCTCTAAACATGAATT